TCTCTCTCTCTCTCTCTCTCGACCTCATATACACGCAAACAAACACACACACACTCCCACTTGAATACATGTGATCTGCGCAATCTTAAGATTATGCTGCGTGTTTTAATGATCGTATAATAGCCATGTTAAGATTGCGCGGCCATCTTAAGATTGCGCTTCGCGGCAATGTGAAGATTGCGTTAATATGTTATATTTTTGAAGAAAAAAACCCATTAAAAAAACACTTCCATCTTTATTCTTCTACTCACTTCAAGGAACATTGACATACATGGTAAAAATATGAAAATTAAAATTAAAATTAAAATTAACATATAAAACTGAAGAGCTCACAAGAATGATACAAGGCCAGGTATCAAACTCAAAGTTCACAAAGTACATTGAAATCTAATTTATTTTAAATTTTTGAAATACTTTTTTTTAAAAATCACGTTAATCAATATTTATTTTTTTACTCACACCAAGGAACATTCACATATAAAATATTTTCAAAAATGTAAAAATATGAAAATTAGAATTATTAAAACTAAAATTAAAATCTGCAAAATATAGACATCTATATTATTAAAATATAATAAAATATTAACGCAATCTTCAGATTGCAACGCAATTATCATCATCATCCGGTGCCTTGCCGACTGGCGTGGGCGATCATGGACCTCCACTTCACTCTGTCTTGCGTTGCAGCAAATGGTGTCTGTTGTTCTTGCTGCTCCTAGCCATGTTGTCATCTTGTCCAGTATCTTTTCCCTCTGTCTGCCTCTGCCTCTCTTTCCATCAAACTTGCCTGTTGTTACAATATTCTCCAATGCTTCTTTCCGCTTTGTGTGTCCGAAGAAATTTGCCTGTCGCTTTCTTATATTCGTCATAAACTGTCTTCTACAATTTGCTTCAACCAAGACTTTTTCATTTGTTTTTCTAGCTGTCCCTGGGATACGTAGCATGCGTCTTACGAACAACAACTCTGTTGTCAAAATTGCTCGTCAAAAGATCGTTAAAACGCGCATGCAGAGATTGCGCAGATCGGCAAATAGCGCGGAACACATGCTGACAGGCACCAGAGTACAATTAATTGATTCTTCACCGCAGCAGCTTTGGGGTGTCAACATATTATTATTATTATTATTTATTATTATTAATTTTTTTGCGCTTTTCTTTCAGAAATGAGAAACGCCTTCTGTTCTGTTTCTCAACGATCACAATAAGGCTTTGTTTAACCCCTTCATTTCATTGCTGAGAAACTCCTGCACATGTCTAGGTCTGTACGGACAAGAGAAAACTGTTCGTTCAAAAGAGATTTAAACAAAGCTATCATAAATTTCACCCGTTTTTTTAATTAATTAAAAATGAGCAACGAGCTGTAATTACACATCCTAAAATACCCTCTCTAAACCAGTTGAAAAAATGGCAGTGAGCTAGTATTTGGAGAACGCTAGCGAGTAGTTATGTCCACACAGCAGTGGTCATCATCATCATCATCATCATCATCATCATCATCATCATCATCATCATCATCATCATCATCATCATCATTATTGCTTTTCTCACCCTGCACCAGGGTGTAGGCCTCGGACAAACACCTTCCACCTTTCTCTATCCTGGGTAGCCTCTTGATATCACTCCATGTCTTCCCACTTTTCTGTACATCGATTTCTGTGATTCTTCTCCAGGTTCCACGGGGTCTTCCCTTGGTCTCTAGCCCTGTGGGTTCCAATCCAAAACTTTCTTTGTTATGCAGCTGCCTGACTTACTGAGAGTATGTCCAATCCATCGCCACCTCCTTCTTCCTACCTCATCTCTGACTGGGATCTGTCTTGTTTTCCTTAACACTTCCACATTGGTGACCCTATCTGTCCGTCTGATCCTCAGTAGCTTTCTTAGACACCACACAGCAGTGAAGAGGTTTAAAAAATACTCAGGTCTTAACAGTGAAGTCACGAAAGCAGTTGCGGATTACTAAGGTGCGAACCTACAGTGAAACGCGGGCAAGGTTTATCATTTAGACTTCAAAAACAAGATCTAATCGGAGCGAGCTGATAGCTTTTTCTCGGTGCTCATCTAGATACACACTTGTTTGAAACCAGAGGTGTTGGCAGTTAGCCTATAATTATTTCACGTGTGCCCGCTTCCTACATACCCCCACCTCTCTCTCTCTCTCTCTCTCTCTCTCTCTCTCTCTCTCTCTCT